TTTCAATGCGGACATCACTTCTGGTACTTCTCGTTGAGTCCCGACTTTTACTTCTTTGAATGTCAACCAATTTCTTAGTCTTCTCCTCACGACTCATGCGGTGATGACTGGCATAAGTGGCATAACTCGTGCCACTCGTAGTCGTCGTTGCAATCGATTGTCTGTCAATGTTCTCAATGTCTATAATTTGTTCATCAATTGGTTCAATAATTATCCGATTATTGTCTGTGCTTTCCATTTGAGACATTAGTTTGTCTTCAAATTCAATTTCAATCGTCTCTTCACTTCTCTTCTGTTTAACTAATTTTCTCTCATTTTCTCGATCTCGCGATTTCGACCTCTTGTCTCGATCTCTATCTCGATGTCTCTTCACGTCTTCGCTTACTTTATCTGATTTTTCTGACTTTTCTCTCGATTTCTCACTAAACTCTTCCTTTTCTTTGGCCTTTTTCTCACTTCTCGAAGACTTTTCCTTTTTATCTGATTTTGTCTTCGACTCCTCTTTCCGTTTGCCATCCGTTTCCTCTTTATGTTTGGACTCGCCTTCAATATTATGTCTACTTTTTTCGTGTCTATGGTTTGAGTCTTTTTCCTCCCTTTCCTTTGACTTCTCACTTCGATCTCTATGTCTCTCTTTGGATCTCTCTTTCTTTTCCCTATCCTTAGACCTCTCCTTTCGATCTCTTTCCCTGTCTTTGGTTTTTGTTTGTTTTTCGTCACTATTTTTATCAGTTTTTTCCAAAGATTTTGTCAATTCCTTCACTTCTTTCTCAATATTTTCTTCAATTGTTTTATTTGTTTTTTCTTTATTTTTGTCGATTTGATCATCAATTTCGGTGTTTTCAACCTCTTTGTCGACATTTTCAACATTTTCATCGCTTTTCACTTCGCTCTCATCCTTTGGTTTATTTTTCTCTTCTTTTAGTTTATTTTTATTTTCTTTTGCCTTTTCTTTCTCCTCTTTTTCTCTCAATTTCTTCTCTTCTTTCTCTCTCTTAAGCCTTTCCTCCAATTCCTTCTTTTCCTGCCTTTCCTTTTGCTTTTTCTCCTCTTTTAGTCGTTTCTCTTCTTTCTCCCTCTCCTTCTTCTCCCTTTCCTTCTCTTTCTTCATCTCCTTTTCCAACAGTTTCCGAGCTTTTGGGCTCATTTTTTCGATGTCTTCCTTGACGTCAATACCTGTCCCCTCGTCTCCACTCTTTTGTACCTCTGATTCTGTAATAGTTGTGTGATTTTCAATCACTTCCTCCACATTTCCATTCACTTCAATACTGATCTCGTTTTTAGTTGTCTTCTCGTCGTCTTGTTTTTCGGTGTCTTTTCCCATCATTTTGTCTCTCTTTGCCTTCAGTTTTGTCTCTTCTTTCAGTAGTTTTTCTTCAATTTCTCGCTTTTTCTGCTCAAATTTCTCCGCCTTTTCTCTCTCTTTCTTCTCTTGTTTTTCCTCCAATTCTTTCTGTTTCTCTTCCTTTTGCTTCAGTTTTCTCTCATTTTTCTCCCGTTTCTCCCTTTCCTTCTTCGACTCAAAACCCATTAAAATCGTGAACTGATCCGAGATTACTTCAAATACAAAAATAAATCAATTTTATTTTTTAATAGAAATTCGTTTGAATTGATTTAAATTTTATAAAGAATTTATTTTCAACTAATTTAAGAATTAGAGAAATATATCGAAACAATTAAACAATATTCTGTGTATTCCTTGATTTTTAAAAATAAATCAGAATATTATTCTTATTTTTAAATAGAATTTAATAATTTTAAAACACTTAAGTAAAATCATTTGATAAAAGGTCATTCAAAATTAAATAGGGGACGGGTCAATTGTTAACCAACATTTAAACCTACTTACTGAATGTCACTTAAGCAATGTATTGATAGTAAAATGTGTGCATTAATTACCATTAAAAGAAGATCCGTCAATCTTGGCGTTGTCCACAGTTTTGGTGATCTCTTTCATACGGATCTCTTCCTCCACTTTCTTCTTGGCGTCCTTTTGTCGCCTCAATTCTCTGTCCTCTTCGTTGAGGCCGTCGTTGGTGTCGTATTTGGCGCTTATATTCTCGTCTTCTATGGAAGAGCTGGTCGTCATCTCCCTCTCCATCGCAAACATAGCCCTCAACTTCTGTCTCCACGTAGGCTTTCCCATCTCAAACGATACCTGTTTGTTCATACGAGTCGTTTCCATCTTCTCTACTCTTTGTAATACTTTAAATATAATTCAATTATATTAGAAAATCATTAATTTATAAAGTTTTACATCAAATAAATTTATGAATTTCTAACACATAGTAATTAAAGTAAAATAAATTTTGTCAGTGATATAAGCTATAAAGTATCCGCAAATTCATTTGTAATACTTTACAATAACTATAATATAATTTATAATTATATGAATAACTTTGAAATAAATTTATCATTATGTTTAGTCGTTTTATTAAATATTGAATATATTCGCGAAGTGTATGATAAAATGTTTATGATTTATATAAAACAATATATACCCGGAAGCAAATTGTTTGGTTGAGCCTCTAATTCTTCAATTTTAATTTTGTTTAAATGATTTCTAAACACTTTAGTGAGTCTTCTGCGGACAAAATCTGCTTCAATCTCTTGTTTAGTCCGTGGGATTCGACACCGGAATAGACAGCACAACACAATCACTTATAACAGAAAAACACATCATTTATACCAACATTGAGATGATTATAATCATAAAGAGTAGGCAAACCTATGGCCAGTCCCGAGAAAAGACCGGAGAAGATGACGTGCCAGACCTTGAAGACCCCGATAAGTGTCTGTTCGAGCCATGGCTCCTCTGGCACCACATCCTTCGGCCGGTCCTCACACGGGGGTAACTGTCAGTCAAATTGGCAAACAATTGTCAGTCAAATTTGGACAAACATAGTGTTTGATTGCTTAGTTATTGAGTTAACAAATAAGTGACAAATATTTTGAAAACTTATCAATTATTAATCAATATTCAAACCCTTGTGGTATTTGTTGTGTTATTTTGGGCAAAGCACCGGTAGCTCACAGAAATCAAGTGACAGACAATAATGATTGTGCTAACAATTTGCTTATTATTATAGATCATAGTTAAGACTACAATTAGGCGACAATTATTATTATTATTATTATTATTATTGAAGAGAAATCGATGGCAAAGAAGTCTTAATTGATTTGAAAGGACGACAATAAGCATTGTGTCATAAGAGTTAACAATAGGGAGACATTTGATGATTATATTTAAGTGGAGGAAGGCTTGGATTTGCTGAAGAGATGGGCGGACCGACAAACATATAGTCGGCCATCAATTGGCCATTTGTTATATGATTTACTAGTTTCAGTGTATATTACAATAAATTTATTTTTCAGTCAAAATATATATATAAAGAATAATATATAGAAATTAATTATTTAATAATAAATATAGTTTACTCTAATAATTAAGTTTAAAAAATTATTAATAAATTCTATTCCAATGAGAATATATGTAAAATTGTGTTATGAATGAGTGTATGAAACAGAATATTAGCAAAACATTTCGTAATACAGAATATTCTGTATATTCTGTAGGAAATGAAGAATAATTTTTACACAAATTTCTGTTTACACACAAAACTCACAGAATTAATAAAAATAATGCTTTTTTGACAACATTGTAGTCGAGTTGCATGACTGGTGTGGACGGGCATCCAATGCAGATGTTAGAGCCCATAAGGATCACCAGTGATGTGCCCAAGACTATGCAACTCCACCCAAACCTATTCATTAATTATTGAATATTACTTTAGCTGTTTGTGTAGACAAGAGTGGCGTAAACCCTATTCGCTAGCATTTCCTCGTAATTCTCATCTATTTCTATATAAAAACAAATTAATCGTAACTTTAAATGAACTGAAAATTTGCTTTTTTCATGAAAATTGAAATTTATGTTTCAATATGTTTATTAAGTTAATCATTTAATATTTATTTAATAATTAAAATGCATTATAAACTTAGAAGTAAAAGTAGTTTAATGAATGTTTTTGTCAAAAGGAGAATATAATGAAAAATATATGAAAACTAATATCAGGCATAACTTTATGTTAGTGTTACACCACTTCTATTGATTAGGTATTCATGAGAATTATTTTCGGCGAATATTCATATATGGCTTGAAAATGCAATTTACATAACACTGAAGACCATTAAAAGGTTTTCAATACGTATTATAGTATTTCAATATAATAAGTGCAATAATTTTTTGATGTTTTCCTAAAATAAAGTAAATGCATTGTCTGTTATTCAATATTTAATACTGGCACACATATCAAACAATATTATATAAGAATATTCTGTATGTTATAAATGTGAGAACATTTAATAAAACTTTAGTGATCTTATAGGATAGTAAAGCCATTAATGTGTTGTGTATTGACTATAAAATTTTCAAATAAACTCTAAATGGTTGACACTATTCCGAGTTGATGTTTCAAATTTTGTAGTTTTTATTGGAAATCATTTATATTTGCAAATTGCAATCAACAAATGATAAGAATACAGTATACTGCATGCTTTCATAGAATTAATAATATGTTTACGACAAAGTGAGCCAATATACCAATATATAAATAAGTTGTTAGTGTTGTTTCCAATTACTTTAATTAAACAAAAATATAATTTCATTATATTTGTTTGATACTACAGTAATAAACTACAGATAATGTCTAATAACTTCCAATAATAAGTTATGAGTATAACTTATGACCCAAATAGCCTTTCATACAATAATATTATACAGTATAAGTTAATTTCATAGAAATTACCTAGTTAACTAATAGAACTAATTAATCGATTGTTTATTAAGTTTGTTTTAAAGTAATGTATTGTATTTATTCATTGGATAAAAATATTCTTAGTAATTTAATTTTAATGTATATAAATGTCTTGACGTATTTAATGATATTTAAACTCAATTAGTTAATCATTTGATATAAGTTTTATTATTATGAACATTCCTATAATATAAAAATTGAAAAATAACTATTACTCTAAAGTAAAATACAGAAAATAGGATTTGTTTTAAATAATTTTATTTTTCTACATTCATGTAAGTTATTTAAAAAGAATTTAATTTATTCTCATTTATTACTTTACATTATTTACTGTACATTATATATACTGTAGAACTAAATCATATCAAAAATCAACAAAAATAATATACTGTATATATATATACACACATATATATATATAATAAAATGAAAAATTCATATAAAAAAAGTATAAAAAGCATAAAAAATTGCAAAAATATTTAATCCAGAGATTTGATATGAAAGGGGTATCATATCAAAGGGCTATATCCAATAATAAGTTATGAGTATAACTTATGACCCAAATAGCCTTTCATACAATAATATTATACAGTATAAGTTAATTTCATAGAAATTACCTAGTTAACTAATAGAACTAATTAATCGATTGTTTATCAAGTTTTTTCTAAAGTAATGTATTGTATTTATTCATTGGATAAAAATATTCTTAGTAATTTAATATTAATGTATATAAATGTCTTGACGTATTTAATGATATTTAAACTCAATTAGTTAATCATTTAATATAAGTTTTATTATTATGAACATTCCTATAAAATAAAAATTGGAAAATAACTATAACTCTAAAGTAAAATATAGAAAATAGGATTTGTTTTAAATAATTTTATTTTTCTACATTCATGTAAGTTATTTAAAAAGAATTTCATTTATTCTCATTTATTACTTTACATTATTTACTGTACATTATATATACTATAGAACTAAATGATATGAAAAATCAACAAAAATAATATACTGTATAATAAAATGAAAAATTGATATAAAAAATATAAAAAGCATAAAAAATTGCAAAAATATTTAATCCAGAGATTTGATATGAAAGGGGTATCATATCAAAGGGCTATCTGTGGCGGGGGTACAGTGAGGAGGCGCCAGAAGTGGGCGGTTCGAGCATAGTTTGGGTTGCTTTTGCTGATTGTTGTGCGGACTGAGAGGTCCGTTGCAATGACTTGTGAACTGTTTTATTAGTTAAAGGACTGGTAGGCGCTGTGAGCGCCGGTACGATCTGAGATGTGGTCGTATTATTCTCTACGAATGACTGATAGTTATCACAATTAGACTCGTCTTCGCCGTTACGGCAGTCAACGCCTCCATCGCAGCGCCAATTGGGAGGAATACACCGGTTATTAGAGCACCGGAACCAACCCTCCGGACATACCTGTGCGGCACACCTTTCCGGATTCTGGGAATTGTATTCATTAGACATTGAATTCTGTACTAAAAAAGTTTGACAAACGAAGACTCACTTCATCTGATTTGTCGCCGCAATCATCGCTTCCGTCGCATAACTTTTGAATTAATTTGAAAAGTTTAGTACATTTTATAGACTTTATGGCATAGACTATAGGAAATCATACCCAATGCGGGTGCGCACAGATATTTGTCTCGTCGCAGCTGAAGAAGTCTTGAGGACACGTGACATTTCGTGGACAGGGATTTGGGTGGCGCTCATCGGACGCCAAACCATCCTTACAATCGATGACACCATTGCATACGGTATTCATTGGAATACATCTGAAATATAAGCCAAAGAAATATAATTTTAAGAATTTCTAAATTTAGTTATATTTGCGAAGAGACCTGTTGTCTCCGCACCGGAACCAGTCGTCCGGACAATCAAAGTTCTTGCAGTTATTATAGTCTTCATCGGAATTGTCTCCGCAATCGTTCTCTCCGTCACACCTGACAGACAGAAAGGACACACATTTTAGGACAAGTCTTACGAAAT